AAGTCGGCGGCTGGCCGTTCACCAGCAACGAGGAGCACCAGCCGGCGAGCCCAGGCACGAGAGGGAGAGGACGTAGTCGTAGTCAAAGATCGAAGGATGATGATGCAGCTGAAGCGAAAGGAGGAGGACGAAGTAGCCCGAGACTAAGCAGTAGAAGGCGAATCGAAGTCGGACGAAGCAGTCGCAGCGAACGAAAATCCTTAGATGAGCGAATTAAGGCAAAGATTTTTGACAGCATCTTTCTAACTCTAGTAACCCATCAATCCTTGGACAGTAGCTTTTCATCTATAACAATCCAATAACTCGTGGATATTAGCTTTCCATTTAAAACAATCCAGCAATCCTTGGACAACAATATTCCATTTCCACTATTGAGCTAATTCTAGATTTTAGAACAAAAGACTAATTTTTAGATTTGTTTAATTTATAGTAATTCCTCTCCATGCTTATGTACAACTTCTCATCATAGTTTTTTTATATAGGACAAAAGAATAAAATTCAATCATACAATCTTACATATTTCTCTCCTCTCTTCTCATGATAATTTTCATCAACGCTAGTGATAATATATGAATGTTTACTATTTATCTATCACTAGACATTTTTCAATAGAAGCAAAATTCAATGTTTCCATTGTACTTTGGAGAATTACGTTCCCAAAGATGCAAATCAAACCATCAAATTATCATCTTAAAAATGCCAAATACTAAGTTCAGTTGACTCACACAATACTGCCATTAGCGTGCAATTTGAACCCTGAAAAAGGAGTTACGGAGTTCTCCAGATTGCCATTTTTCTTTACAATCTGTCAATAATCCTACTGTTAGAACTAAAATACCAAAGCTGCTTGTGCCAAAAATAAATAAATAATTCAACATAGAAACTTGGTTAAGTGAGATTCTTCTTTTTTAGAACTGACCTGCAAGCCTTTTAAACCATTAGCAGCTGCAACTTGCCAGCTATCATCACTTGCCTAGAATAAAAAGAGCACCAATTGGCAGTAGTAAAGGAAATATAATTACATCAGGAAAACCATATTCATGTAATATATGAAATATTGTAATTTATTAAAAGTTACCAACTTTATGAACCAAATGTTAAAGGGACTAAAGCTGTAGAGTTCCCAAGTAAGTTGCAATTGCTTTTAATTCCTAGTCAGAAAGTAGTCAATAGTAAAAAAAAAAATTCCAAGCCAATAATTGAATTTGGAATAAGATCATGAAGGGGATAGTCAATCCTATAGTCCACTTCAAGATTATAATGTGGTCGATAAATCATAAAGAGATCAAGAGATCTGGCTAGTTCATGATCCATTTTATTCGTGGAGTGTGTTGATGATGATAATGATTCTCGGATCACATGATATTGTCGAGATCAAAGTCTCACTGATTATAACAAATTGTCAATCCAAACGACATCATCAAAATTTTAAGGCAAGAGATTTAAACAGTTGGGTTGAGAATAAGGATGATTTTTTAAATTGTTTAAGATAACATTATGTTTGAGTTTTAAATTCTGCATGAGGATAGATTATATTGTATTCATGGACAAATTCAAGGGTGACCAAGACAATATATATATATATATACAAAAGTTCCATATATAAATATTCCAACATAAAAATTTAGATAATATTGACGTTCAAATTCAATTTCATTTCAAGAATAGAGATTTTGAATAAATCCGTTTGATCATTCGTCAAAATTTTATGTGAATTCAATCATTGATGACTCAATCAAATTTAGAATTTGATTCCAAATTACATTAAAAAAAACATCACATTTAAATTTTTAAAATACGATTATACCCAAAATTAAAATGAAATGAAAAACATAATTTCAAAATCGATAAAATGTTCAAATATATCAAAATTGACGCATGATTTTGAAAATGATTTTCTTTAAACCTTATAAAACAATGGAATCTAAATTTTAATGGATTACGATTTGCATTATTCTATAGAGATAGCATGCATATATATATATATATATATATATATATATATGCTAGGGTTTTGCGGACGCAGCAGCCATGGTGAATGCCCCGAAAACCAAGAAAACTTATTGCAAGAACAAGGCCTGCAAGAAGCACACCTTGCACAAGGTCACTCAATACAAGAAGGGTAAGGATAGTCTATCAATTCAAGGAAAGCGTCGTTATGATCGGAAGCAATCCGGTTATGGTGAGCAGACTAAGCTTGTTTTTCACAAGAAGGCAAAAACCACAAAAAAGAATGTGCTGAAATTGCAATGCCAAAGTTGCAAACATTTTTCTCAGCACCCAATCAAGTGGTGCAAGCATTTTGAAATTGGTGGAGACAAGAAGGGCAAGGGAACCTCTTTGTTTTAGATGCATTGCTTTAAACTTTCTCATAGCTTTTGGTACTTTCATATTGGTCATTTGCTTTTTTGAAGAACTGCTCGTAAACTATGTTTGTGCACATCTTCTTATTTTTAGCTGTGAATTATTTCACTACTTAGTAAGATAAACTTTTGAAGATTATATATATATATATATAGATATATATATCATGTTCTAAATAAAATTAGATATTTATTACTTGTATTTATGCATTTATTCATTCTTCTAATCATATTAAAAAGTTAAAAGTGTTTTTCTTACAATTTAAACTTAAGTTTGTTCATATAATAAATAATAACAACAATAAAATATAAACATAATTCAAATTATTAAGTTATAATAAAAAATTAGGTATATTTTTTAAATAGTATTGTGCCCCCTTCAGAAAAAAATTCCTACCTCTGCTGCTTATTGTCTTATCCTTAAATTTGATATTATCTGCATATATTGTTGACTTTGTTTAGGAATTAGTTTCATTTTATAGTCGAATTAATTTAGGATGTAAAAGATATTTTCTAAAGTAATTCCTGTTGAAATTTTAACTATAACAAGGCTTGAGATCTTTGACCCCACTTAGTGGGATAAAGTATAGTTGTTGTTGTAAGGCTTAAGACCTTTAATAAATTCCAATCTAGAATTCTCCCAAATTCACTCTCACATTTCTCCTGACTTTGTTCAACCACTCGCCTCTAAAATAGCCCAGACAGTTGGCCATCCTGCCTTTCCCACTTCCCACAGAAACAACTTATTTCATCTATCGCTTGTTGTGGTGGCATCAAACCTATTGTTCAGAGGCTCGTACTGCTGTCATGACTCCATCAAAAGGGAAAAAAGTACCCTCAAAAAACAAGTTAACTCCTCATCTTCAAACAAATAATTAACGACGTCAATGAACCCTATTCTAAACAGTTTTATGATTTTAATGGTAGAATTCTGAGTTTAAATCTTGATGAATAGAAGAGTTCAAATTGTATTTGCAAGGAAGGGCAAGAATAGGAAAAAATTTATGTCACTCAACAAAGTTTATCAAGCTATAACCAGGTCAACACAAGTAAAAGTTTTGAGGACCTCCACTCACGGCCAAAAAAAATAATAATTTCCTCTAACTTTATCATGTTATCTTTACCCTTTTTTTTCTTACATTTCATTACCACTTTCTTGTAATTGTTTCTTATTGTACTCATCTCATTGATCGGTTATAAAATTTTACTAAAGAAAATAACTCTCATACAGAATTTGATCCACCGATAGACAATGCTCATAAAATAAATTCTTATCTAAAATTTGTCCATGACATTATAACTCTAAACACGCATGCTAGAAAAAGTGTTAGACAATGCTAGTAAAATACATACTAATCTAAAATTTGGCCATGACATCATAACTCTATCGAGCATGCGCTTATTAAAAAATTTGTCATTGTTGTTACCACTCAAAAGGAACTACAGATTATTTTTAAGAGACTTGTAAGAAAATTCAAAACCAGCACATGTTTCAACTGAAACAGCACATCATGAAGAAACTGAGCAGTGAATTTTGAATGCATTGAAGCACGATAAACAAAATATTCTGAACATCAATGAACAGGGAAGTAAAATTCACAAGGTTGTACAATAACGATCATGTTACAATGCTAGTAAATAGAAGCTCCACTCCGCAACAGATTATAGTAATTCGTTCCACTATTGTTGTTATTATTTGGAGCCTGATTGTGTTGATCAGTTGTAATTTCATAGCCCTCAATTTTCCACTTCAAACTTGATGATGAGTTTATTACGGGTAGGGGAGTGTCTCCCCTTTTGTTGGGTTCAGATATCAGAATTGGCAGAACTGTCAGATGGTAAAAAGATAATGTAAAAAGATAATGCACGATAAATGAGTTTACAGGCTGAAAGAAGAATCGGATGGTAAAAAATGCTACAACGCAAGGTTCGTTGTGAACGGATCCCAGCAAAATGAAGAAGTTGACTACAATGAGATATTTTCTCATTTAGTGGATTTGACAGCTAACCGAATTTTGATGAGTTTAGTGGCAATGAAAGATCTACATCTGGAGTTGATAAGCGCAAAACAACATTCTTACATAGTTGCTCGGATGAAGAATTGTATATGATGCAACCACAGAGATATGAAGTTCCACGAAAAAAACATATGGTCTGTAGACTGAAAAAGAGTGTTAATGGTTTGAGCAAGCACCAAGATGTTGATACAAGAGATTTGACAAGTTTATGTCAGACAATGGGTATATGAAGTGCTTATCAGATTAGTATTGCTTCATTAAATATTTTGGCTATATTGTTCTTCTCTTGTATGTGAATGACATACGGATTGTAGAATCTGATATGGAGAAGATCGAGAACTTAAATGAGCAATTATCAAGAGAGTTTGAAATGAAAGATTTAGATCCAATCAGAAAATTCGCCTATACGAAAATCAATAGAGACAAGAATACAGGTACATTGACGTTGTCTCAGGCAGAATATGTTGAGAAAATTTTACACATATTCAACATGAGTGAGGCAAAATCAATTTGCACATATATAGCCAGTCAATTTAAACTATCTACTAAACAATCGTCTAAGTCTGATATTGAGCAAATACAAATGAATAAAACTCTATATGTTTCAGTTGTTGAAAGTTTGATGTATGCGATGATATGTGTGATACCATATATCAAATATGTTGTGAGAGTGTTCAATCTATGCATGAATAATTCAGGTAAACATCATTGGAAGATGGTGAAGTGGATTCTCATATACTTGAGAAGAACAGGCCAGATTCGAGCGAGCCGAACACGAGCCGGGCCTAAGCACGCTCAAGCTCGGCTCGTTTACAGCCCTATGCATGGATTAATATATAGATATATGTAGATTTAGATCTTGCAAGAGATATTGATGGCAAAAAAAGCAAATGTTATATCTTCACTTTAAAAAACACATGTTTGAGTTGAGTTTCAAATTATAAAAAATTATTGCTCTACAAACTATAAAAGTTGTGACACGGGAGTTTTCCTTCAAAAGCCTAAACTAGTTTGACCCGAACCGATTTAGTTGAGAGAAGAGGTTGAACCGATCCCTCCTCCCCTCTTTTCATTATGCGGGAAATTTCCAGCTTTCTTATTTTCATTTTCCGTCCATCCCACTTCTATTTATATGTGTTTTTAGGTCTCAGAGATGTAGCTTATGTTATTTTTTATTTAAGATTTGTGAGGACAACCGCCGGCATCCGGTTTTCCCCTTGAGAGTTGTATCCAACAAAAAGTATGGTACTCCGGTTGTATCCCTTCTACCCGGCGGTGATTACCTCACTCCGACTTCCATCGCTATCCTCCGACTCGTCTCCCTTCCTTGCCTGTTGACCGCAACCCATCTAGATGTCATACCCCCAACTCTGCCTGCTACCTTTACCCCATCCCACGCCCCAATCTGCCACCTGGAAACCGTCCACCGCCCCAAATCTGCTGCCAGCGGCCCTTCCCAATTCCTTCCCCACTACAACTCATCTTCAACGGCCCAACAGCAGCCCTTCACTGTTTCCTTCCCCTCTACAGTCCCGTCTATGGCCCAATAGCGGCCCCTCTCCAATTCCTTCCCCACTACAACTCAATTACAACGGCCCAACAGCAGCCACTACCTTTCCTTAACTAATTGCCCTGCAGCCTTTCTAATAACAATTCTTAGCCTTCCAGTTCCTGCCGAAAGCCTCCCCAACCTGTCCAAACCCTGCAGCATCCTTTCCCCAACTCTCACAGTCACTACAACAACCACTCCTAGGCCTCGGAACCGCTGCCCAGCCGCCATCCACCATCCTCACCGACACCCTAAGGGTCTCCCGTATTTGTATTGTTGTTATTTTCCTATTGTCAAGAGTCTGTGTTTGTATCTTATTAAAGTTCAGCAATAATATCATTTCTTTTGTGATTTGGGCTTTCTCCTCCAGTGTCAAGTTGAATATATTGTCATCACTGAGGCAGCAAAGAAATCATTTGGCTATAAAATTTTATGGTACAACATGGCAAGGAGCAAGGGAATTAAAAGTTTCACATTGACATTATGAGTGTCAATCATCTAGCAAAGAACACTGCATTTCATGCCGGGACAAAGCACATTCGGCTATAGTATAATTTCATTTATTAACTCCGAGAAGATGGCAATTACCTTTGGAGAAGATACATAGCTCAAAATTCCACAAACATGTTGACTAAGGTTGTAACAATTGAGAAACAGAAGCTATGCTTAGCTTCAGTCGAAGTTCAAGAAAGTTGAAATCGGGATGAACCACACTGCAGTTCATAACTATGAAAATATTGTGGATTTAGATGTGAGTTGGATTGATTGCAATCAGTCTCCAAGTGGGAAACTATTATGTGTAGCTTGATTGTGTTGATCAATTGTAACTCAAAGTCCTCAATTTCGTCGATCAAATTTGATGGTGATTTTGTTGAGGGTTACGAGAGAGTGTCCCCCGTATATTGGGTTCGGGGACACCGTTACTCTAAAAAAAATTTCCTATGCTTAGCATCCTAGCTCCAGGATGGTGCAGCCCAATGTCGAAACCAGTAGCTCCCCAGTGCCCAGAAAGTAGCGCTGTCGTGCCCAATATAAGTTAAAAATTTAAGAGCACAACAATACAATGCTTAGAAGTCAGCTCCCCAAAGCCCATTACAGTGCTGCAGAGCCACTATTGCGACGCCTCGGCACCAATAACTGAATTTGAGCAATTTTCCAATCAAAGTTCAAATTTTGTAGATTGGAAACATATGAGATTTTGATTTTCTCGTGTAAGGGATAGGAGAGGAGCTCTCAGAATCCAAAGTGTTGAAAGGCTTGAGTGTTGTATAATTTGTACGATTCTCCTCATTTTCTTCATAGTGGATATCTTGGTATGGTGTGGCTCAATGATTTTTTTTCGGTTCTCGGGTCTTTTCACATTAAATCTTGTGTTTTATGTGATTTTCATGTTTTGTGTGATTTTGTTCAAAATTTTTGCTTTTGATCTCTCAAATTTGTTTATGCAATTCACATCTCTCCCTACAACTGTTCATTCAAATTGTAACTGGATAACAAAATACATGAAAGTGTTTTGATACCTGTGAAGACCACAGTAATTGCCATTCTCCTTCTAGATCATCTAAATCTGCAGCGAGTTTATTCCGCCTTAATGAGACAACTTCATCTATCACCTATAGAAATATTCAAATTAGTGATAAGGAGTTAATCCTAAGGAAGCAGTACAACTGCAGAAGATAAATCAAATCATGGTGATCACACATCTGCTATGCTTTCCCCAGAGGTCACTGCCAATAGCAATTTTTGCCTTGGTTCAGGTTTCTTTTGCAGCACAAATGTAGTGCCCTGCACTATAGATTCTGTCATATCTTTAGTTTGCTGAAAATGGACTGATACTTATCTTTAAAAAAAAACCAATCATTTATAAAAGTTTATTGCAAGAATACCTTGCTCCCTCTTGAAATTCGAATAATTCCACTGGTAGACAAATAAGTTGTATCCAACCACCCCTTCGCTTCATCGCCCAAAAGCCTAAATGGAACGGGGTATGGAATCTTACAAGGTAAAATTTTGAAGGAGAAAGCTGCTCTATCAAACTGAAAAAGGATTCTCTTTCCATCTTTAACTGAAGCTGCCGCCTGAAAAGAAAGAAAAAAATCAAAATAAATTGAACTTCTTATGAATATCTCAGTAACAGGCATATCCTAAAATAATGAGCGTATAAGTTTTTTACTGTCGATAAAATAAATAAGGAGAATGGCGTCTACTTTAAATCACAAGAAGGAGATCTCGTATCATGTAACCCTTTTGTAGGCGTTTACAGTTAATGCACTATAACCAAAAGTGGCATCAAAGCCAGCAATTTAGCTGTAGTGACTCCCATGGTCATTCAAGTGTTTCATGTCTTGTTGACTAAGGGCCCGTTTGGCGCCGTGGAGCAGCTGCAGGGGGTTTTTTTAACTGCTCATTACATTGATCATAATTGGAAGATGCAAAAACGAATTATTAATTTCATTGAATTGGATCCTCCTCATACTGGCACGTTCATTTGTGATGTCATTTGTGATTGCTTGTTAGATTGGAAGATACATGACAAAGTATGCACTATCACTTTAGATAATGTGTCTTTTGTCAGTCGTTGATTAACGGTGTTATTTATGGTAATATTCCAGTGTTATTTGTGGTATTATTTGTGTTTTTGCCAGTCATTGATTCGCGGTTTTTGCGTTGTCATTGGAAGATACAGGACAAAGTATGCACTATTACTTGCATACCACATAAGCTTGAATGTTATTTGTGGTAGTATTCAGGTGTTATTGCGGTATTATTCGTGCAGTTTATAAAAAACATTAATCTTGAATTAGTAAATGTTAAATATTAACTTATAAGCACACTTAAAATATATATAATATTAAGTATTTAATAATATAGCTTTAATACACTAATATATAACTAATTTTATTTAATAGTCTTTTGTCAGTCGTTGATTAACGGTGTTATTTATAGTAATATTCCAGTGTTATTTGTGGTATTATTTGCGTTTTTGCCAGTCATTGATTCGCGGTGTTTGCGGTGTTATTTGTGGTAGTATTCAGGTGTTATTGCGGTATTATTCGTGCAGTTTATAAAAAACATTAATCTTGAATTAGTAAATGTTAAATATTAACTTATAAGCACACTTAAAATATATATAATATTAAGTATTTAATAATATAGCTTGAATACACTAATATATAACTAATTTTATTTAATATTGTGTTAATTTATATATAATAACAATTAATTTTAAAATTATACATATATTTTAGCTAATTTAAAATATATAAATGTTAAATATAAAGTAAAAATCATAATACTTAAACTAATTTACTTTACTTTACACATAATTGTTTATATTACAATATATATTAAGGGTTCAGGCAGCTGCAACTTATTGAATAATCTGCTGATAAACAGCTGATCCTGATAAGCAGCTAATCAGCAGCTTATCCGGATAAGTTGTTTTACTGTTTGGTTGGTGTTGTTTGAAAACAGCTAATTTGCAGTTGTTTCTAAAGAAATGATCATTCTGCCCCTGTTAAGTAATTTGGATATGATCACCAATAAATGTGATGAACCATCTAAAACCTATAATCTTATTAAAATTGAAAGATCCCCATGTATCACTATTTATCATAGAAAAAAGATGGGACGATTTACAAAATTCATTTTGGTATGTATTGCGAACATACATGATTTAAATGTATTTTTCATTATTTATTTCATGATTTCTTTATGCATTTTAGGTAGTTTTTATTCTCCCATGAATGCAAGAGATGGGTGAATTTCCACAATAAATGATCCTTGTCAGGTGAAATTCGGAAATGATTAGCTTCTACAAATCTAGAAAACTTATTTATCTCTCTTCAACTTCCCATATTACAAAATTGCCACCCGATGGAAAAAAAAGGAAAGCAATCGTAGCTAGGCTCCTTGGAGAAAATCGAACTCACCTTCTTCTCTGAGGTGGAGGGTAACGACTCCGTGAACTCTCACTGGGCGAAGAGGACGAACTCAAGGACCTCGAACGAGCACGTGAGCGCGACCTCGAGCTGGAATCTGAGCCTGAGTAGGAGCGCGAATGAGGATCGGGAGTGAGAACAAGAGCCAGAAGAAGTCACAGGTCAAGGTCGTCCGAGCTTCGCCATTGCAAAGTAGTTCCAGAGAAGGAAGTGAAACCTTACGCTTAAACCCTAGCAATATGCAGGTTCTGTTCAAAGCGCGGTTATCCGTCTCATTGGGCAAGAGATGTCGAGCGAGGAAGGAGAAGCACAGAGGGCACGGAAGGAAAAAAATAGCAAAACACAGATTGAAGACGTGGATCACGAGGTTGATCCCACGGTCGCGTTTATTAGAAAAAAACTGAACAAAGTTTTCCTTTACGCTCCCCAAACGTACAAAACAAACGCGACGTCGACATTTTCAAAACGCCTCTCATGTCAATAAGCTGCCCTAAACAGACCCTAAATTAAATAGTTATATATTAATTTATAAATAGTTTTATAAATAGTTTTATAAATGTTAATTTACTATATTTCAAATTAAATAGTTATATATTATTTATAAACTATGTTTATAATTAGTGTTTATGTAAATAAGTATTAACTAAATTATATAACATGTTTATGTATTAGTATAATAAACACATATAGCTAAAATTTAATATAATTTTAATAATTTAATATTTATAACTAATTAAACACATATTTACTATACAATAAAATTTAATAAATAATGTTATTACATTATTAATAATATGAATACAAAATAATTATTTAGTATTAAATGTATAAATAAAACATAATAATTATACTATATTTGTATTTATAACTTTACCAAACTATTAAATTATCAAATAGTTTAAAATTTATATATATATAAATACTTGATGTATTATTAATATTAAGATTAAATTTACACTATTATAACAAATATTGATTGCACTAAAAAATTAATAACAAATATTAGCATATTTATTATAGTTATGCCAGTTCTATCGTAAACAGTATCACTGCACAGGGGCAGAATGATCATTTATCCAGAAACAGTTGCAAATTAGTTGTTCTAAACACACAAATCAAACAGACAACCAACTTATTCAAATCAGTTGTTTATCAACATATCCGTTGATTCCCAGTGTTCTTCGCGGTAGTTTTCAAGTATTACTGCAGTGTTATTCGCTATATTATTCGTGTCTTTTGTCAGTCGTTGATTAACGGTGTTATTTATAGTAATATTCCAGTGTTATTTGTGGTATTATTTGCGTTTTTGCCAGTCATTGATTCGCGGTGTTTGCGGTGTTATTTGTGGTAGTATTCAGGTGTTATTGCGGTATTATTCGTGCAGTTTATAAAAAACATTAATCTTGAATTAGTAAATGTTAAATATTAACTTATAAGCACACTTAAAATATATATAATATTAAGTATTTAATAATATAGCTTTAATACAGTAATATATAACTAATTTTATTTAATATTGTGTTAATTTATATATAATAACAATTAATTTTAAAATTATACATATATTATAGCTAATTTAAAATATATAAATGTTAAATATAAAGTAAAAATCATAATACTTAAACTAATTTACTTTACTTTATACATAATTGTTTATATTACAATATATATTAAGGGTTCAGGCAGCTGCAACTTATTGAATAATCTGCTGATAAACAGTTGATCCTGATAAGCAGCTAATCAGCAGCTTATCCGGATAAGTTGTTTTACTATTTGGTTGGTGTTGTTTGAAAACAGCTAATTTGCAGTTGTTTCTAAAGAAATGATCATTCTGCCCCTGTTAAGTAATTTGGATATGATCACCAATAAATGTAATGAACCATCTAAAACCTATAATCTTATTAAAATTGAAAGATCCCCATGTATCACTATTTATCATAGAAAAAAGATGGGACGATTTACAAAATTCATTTTGGTATGTATTGCGAACATACATGGTTTAAATGTATTTTCCATTATTTATTTCATGATTTCTTTATGCATTTTAGGTAGTTTTTATTCTCCCATGAATGCAAGAGATGGGTGAATTTCCACAATAAATGATCCTTGTCAGGTGAAATTCGGAAATGATTAGCTTCTACAAATCTAGAAAACTTATTTATCTCTCTTCAACTTCCCATATTACAAAATTGCCACCCGATCGAAAAAAAAGGAAAGCAACCGTAGCTAGGCTCCTTGGAGAAAATCGAACTCACCTTCTTCTCTGAGGTGGAGGGTAACGACTCCGTGAACTCTCACTGGGCGAAGAGGACGAACTCAAGGACCTCGAACGAGCACGTGAGCGCGACCTCGAGCTGGAATCTGAGCCTGAGTAGGAGCGCGAATGAGGATCGGGAGTGAGAACAAGAGCCAGAAGAAGTCACAGGTCAAGGTCGTCCGAGCTTCGCCATTGCAAAGTAGTTCCAGAGAAGGAAGTGAAACCTTACGCTTAAACCCTAGCAATATGCAGGTTCTGTTCAAAGCGCGGTTATCCGTCTCATTGGGCAAGAGATGTCGAGCGAGGAAGGAGAAGCACAGAGGGCACGGAAGGAAAAAAATAGCAAAACACAGATTGAAGACGTGGATCACGAGGTTGATCCCACGGTCGCGTTTATTAGAAAAAAACTGAACGAAGTTTTCCTTTACGCTCCCCGAACGTACAAAACAAACGCGACGTCGACATTTTCAAAACGCCTCTCATGTCAATAAGCTGCCCTAAACAGACCCTAAATTAAATAGTTATATATTAATTTATAAATAGTTTTATAAATAGTTTTATAAATGTTAATTTACTATATTTCAAATTAAATAGTTATATATTATTTATAAACTATGTTTATAATTAGTGTTTATGTAAATAAGTATTAACTAAATTATATAACATGTTTATGTATTAGTATAATAAACACATATAGCTAAAATTTAATATAATTTTAATAATTTAATATTTATAACTAATTAAACACATATTTACTATACAATAAAATTTAATAAATAATGTTATTACATTATTAATAATATGAATACAAAATAATTATTTAGTATTAAATGTATAAATAAAACATAATAATTATACTATATTTGTATTTATAACTTTACCAAACTATTAAATTATCAAATAGTTTAAAATTTATATATATATAAATACTTGATGTATTATTAATATTAAGATTAAATTTACACTATTATAACAAATATTGATTGCACTAAAAAATTAATAACAAATATTAGCATATTTATTATAGTTATGCCAGTTCTATCGTAAACAGTATCACTGCACAGGGGCAGAATGATCATTTATCCAGAAACAGTTGCAAATTAGTTGTTCTAAACACACAAATCAAACAGACAACCAACTTATTCAGATCAGTTGTTTATCAGCAGATTATCAATAATCTACAACTGCCCCGAAAAGACCCTAAGGTTAAAAAGATCGTGGACGTGTATGTGTGTGTGATTAAGGTGATGTCGGAGTTAACCCAAAATTATGATAAGGAAATAGATTTTCTTACGCCAAAAATAATGTGGTTACAATCAAGACTCAAAACAAAAAAGAAAACACAACACAATGCAAATCTCCTGCTAAGGCGAGATGAGACAGCCAGTGGACAGCGGTGCCAAGGGCTGAGATAAGAGGTGGCATGCTGGAAGGGTTTATGTAGTTGGTGGTTGTAGCAGGAAGGACAGGAGGGAAGAAGACAGCAGCGGCAGAGGTGCAGGTGGGGTTTGCGACAGCAGTGGTAGTAGTATGGGTGGTGGTTGTAGTACGGGAAGATTGACAGCATGGGAAATGTTGGAAGGGTGTAGGATAGCAGCAATTAGGGTGAGGTGCTTGGCAACAGCGTTAGAGGTAGATCTAGGGCTAGCAGCTGAGAAAATAGAAAGGCTTGGCAACAGCGTTAGAGGTAGATCTAGGGCTAGCGGCTGAGAAAATAGAAGGTGCTTGGCAACAGCGTTAGAGGTAGATCTAGGGCTAGCAGCTGAGAAAATAGAAAGGAGGAGGCGACGATGAGATCGAAGCAAGCAAGGAAGGGGGGATAGGTAATGGACTTTGGGGTATAATCACTTCTTCGATGTAGAATGCAGCCGAAGCACCGCCTGTCCTTAAATACAGCCCTAGCAAGGGAGAAATACCAAAGAGCTGTTTTTTTTTTATCACACTTATCAAAACATTCTTTTAAACATGATGACTGCAATTTCTCCTACATAAAATATAGTGACGCGGGGTTGGGCTGGACTGACCGGTCCAGTATGTTTGCTGGTCCAACAGGGAGGTTGGACCGACCGGCAACTCCACTAGGCAGGAATTGCAGCCCTTTCAACTCCCCTATTTCGCCTATTATAAATATATGTTGTTGTTATCTAGGGTTTAGTTTTTGTTGATTTCAGGTTTCCGCCTCTATGTGTTTTCCCTTTTTTATGATTGTATCTGATGACAGGTGGTGCTTCGGTTGTATCCTGCCCTGAGATGATGACTATCTCGACCTCCTCGACCTACCCTGTGGCTAATCCTTTTCCTCGACTCGTTGTTAGCATCTCTACACCCCTCTTCCTTGCAATTGCGACTGCAACGCCCCTCTCTACCTGTTTTCGGTGTTGCCAACCTAGCATAACCAACTATTAGGGTCATCGGCCTCTCCTAACCTCCACTGTTGTTGTCGCCAGCCTCTCCTGCACCTTTATTGTCGCTGCCAGTTGCTTCCTGCGACTCTAACCCAAGCAGCCCTCCAACACCCAAACTTGTTGCTGCCCCACCTTCACACAACTCCACGTGTTGTCATCATCCCTTCCAGTCACCTTCCCTACTGCCGCAAACCCCAGACCACCTCCCTCTCATTGTCCAGCGAGATTCGCCACTTTCGTCCTCATCCTAAGGGCTCGTTTGTGCTTGTGTTCTTTTTTTCCTGTTTTAAGAACATTTGTGGCAACGATAATTTGTGTTGTGTTTCTCGGGTTAACTCCGATATCATTTGGGAGAATTGTAAAAAAGTAACATAAAAAAGGTATAAAAAATGTACCTCTACTTTAAGTTCACCAATTTGATCAGAGAATTGTACAATATTTATCACCCTTGGATCATCGCCCCTAAGGTAGACCTCTTGAAAAATCTTGAAAGTGTTAACCCCTACAAATGTTTTCTACAGCATACAAAATAATCAAGAGAATATCAAAACAACCGCACATTAAGTAAATTAAGTAATACAAGCTCTATGACATGAAAGTGATTTTTAACAGAATAAAGGACCAAAGTGGTCCTCCAACCATTTGCAATGATCCAAAATAGTCTTAGGCTAAGCAGAAAGCCAATTTAAGCCCCAAATTATTTACATAGAAACCAAAATTGTCCAAAGTTGTCCCCCGGAGGGACTATTTTAGTCCCCATAGAACGAGTTTTAGCCTCTATTTAAATAGTCTGGAGACGAAATTAGCCCTTTACATAGTTTGTGACCATTTTGGCCCCTTGCAAAATGTCGAGAGATCATTTTATTCCTTTTATCTTTTTAGCTTGCAAAAAGATAATGTGACTTGAAAATCTGCTTGGTTATTTTAATTATACTCAGAGGTGCTAAACATGTTATGAAGAAAAGTAGAGAGAGTGGTGAAGGATCTATAATGAAGATCATCTAACTATCTCGAAATGAAATTAACTACATCTTTAAAAAAGGTTTCTCATTTGCTCCAATGTGAGAGTATACCCCTAAGCATGAAGATGAATCTATATATGTGCAGCTTAATGGAGTTATGAGAGATCTTCAAACTATTTCCAGTTGATAAAATATGGAAAGAAAATCTCTTGAGGTATTCTTCATAGTTTCATTGATCCACCTTGAAGTTAAATTCATCAGAAACCTACACATGAGCCAAAACTTGAAAATGAATCCAAGTTTGAATTTGAATCAGCCCAGAACTGCACTGCTACACCTGAACTTGAGAGTGAATCTAATTATGACATTACATATGAATTTCAATTTGAATTTCAATTAAATTCCAAGCACCTAATATCCAAAGTAGCAGCTACTTAACATGAGGGATTACGAAAGTATATCATTCTATGTAAGAAATTCAGCCTAGTATTGTTAAGTATTTCGCTCTCAATTTCTAAAATTGCCAACTTAACACAAAGGACTTCATCAAACATATTGAATTGCATAAAAAATTTGCAATCTATATTTGAAAAACATTTAGAGTTCATTCCATCAAATAAACATACATCATATTTTGTAGCATTCATTACTGGTTATACTCGTGCGCGCCTAAGTGGATAAACAAATTTATCAAACATGATGAAACTTTAGAAGCTAGGCTCATTTTTCATTGCAGTGCTTAGGGCTAAAATAAGTAAATTATGCCTTTGTTATAGATATCCTATTTATTTAGTGATATTGAAGTTCAACCCAAACCACAATAAGAAAAGCGAATATTTTTATGGAAAGCAAATAGAACCTTACAGCCAACACACTTGAAAGGTAAAATACAACAACATGGCACCTGAAAATCTGAAATAACAAGAGACACAACACAAACACTCAAACTAGGGTTGAATCTAGGGGGGTTGGTGGTAGTCGGCAAAGGCTTGGAAGGTGGCGGAGAGGTGGAGGCGGCAGTTGGCAAGTAGAAAGCCACACAGCAGTGGTTTCCAAAGGTCCGGGCTGCAAGAAAGTAACAGGGATCGATGCAGTAGGGCTTTCCGGTGCAACAGGAGCAAAAATGCGGCAGGTCCGGAGTAGCAGCGGTAAGAGGCGACCGGGTTGGGGTGTCAGCAGCAAGGTGGAATGGGAGAAGGCGGCAGCAAGTTGGAAAGGGGGGGGTGCTGTTTCATATCATGTGCCACTAGCTTTGTTTTCTCATATCAATATGTTAGAAGATATTCAAATAAGTTATATCCATCAAATATCTTCTAACATACTGATGAGAAATTTTCCAAAGATTTATTTCCATCAAATGTAGAAATGCAATTTTAAGTATCAAGATAGTCACGTCATACTTGACTATAGTTTGCACGCTTTTCTTAAAACTGTAGTTTTTTGGTCATATGGTTAATTGACCCAATTATCAATGACATACTTCTATGAAATTTTTAGTCCCAATACCAATTGAAATATGAAGCATATGCTCGAGGATTTTTACTGAGATTAAATGGTGCACTAGAAGAAAGTCATAAAAATCAAATTTGAAATTCATAATTCGAAAACCACCAACTAAAACAAGAACTCGTTTACTTTTGTTGTAAACAAGAAAATATAAGAAATCTATTTCAAATTATAATTTACACTAAAAAAATTTATCGAGAAAATTGAATTTGTTTAAAAACATCTTGATCAAGATTCACACTGCAACAGGAATACCAATTGTGAATAATTAGATAAAGTCCACACTAAAAAAATTTATCGAGAAAATTGAATTTGTTGAAAAACATCTTGATCAAGATTCACACTGCAACGGGAATACCAATTGTGAATAATTAGATAAAGTCAATCACACTCAAAAACTAATATCAATTTATGAAGAAGAAAAGAGAATGAGATTAAGAGATCATAAAACATTGAAAATTTAGGTGATCGCATCAGTGCAAGGAGATTGCTTCCACTAGAAATTAGTAGTAGCATCTATAACACACTCAAATAATATAACACAGAACGAGAACTCAAGTTTTGAGAAAACATGAAACTTTAACAAACAAAAACTAACTAAAAATTACATTCATGAATACCAATATTTATAAGCATCCCCATTTAAAAAAGGTTAATACCCTCAACTCTTGAATCATTCAAATCGCTAGAATTATATTGCAGCATCCATTCATATGAGGGAGGTTAAGTCAGCAGCAATTGTGGAAGAGCAAGCATAATAAAAAGAGGAATTAGCAACTAATGCACTAGTTTTACATGATGGAGCATCCACAAAGGAAGACCAACACCAGAGCACAGAAACGGAAAAATTATTATAGAAACCAACTACAAGAGCTCAATATGTGAACTATAAAATGACACATATCCAAGGGATGTATTAATGTGTCACATTATCAATAACAATACTTCAATCACAAATAATATAAATAAGTAACCAATAATGATCTTCATTGGGATCAAGTTTTATCAATTTTTCATGATGATTTGATCACTCGTCAATCATATGACAACTACAATAATTATTGGATGGCACATACAAGCCATTTAAAAGTCTAGTTTTTTTACCTATCAAAAGTGTCTAAAACATACAAGATATATTTAACAACTATGCATTTAAATTCAACCTATTTCAAAGTCTCTACACTATGAAATCAAAATTATCTTATCCTGCAATCGATGATATCAACTGCAAATTTTGATGGGTAAAATTGATGATAAAATGATATTAAGAATTCGTCAATCGGGTATGTGAATAGTTTTAATGATGTTAAAGAGAATGAAAAATAATGATCTTGCATTTAATGATGATGACATCAAAATCTAATTAGGTAGAAAATGATAATTATCCTTCCATATAATTTGAAAGTTATGAGGGATAGCAAACAATGTAATCAACAATATAACCTTACATCAACTAAAGCATTTTACTCCTTGCTTGAAAATAATAGGAAAAAGGTGAATAACATAATAGTTATTTTCTTACTTGAATGGGAGATGCTGTTCCTGGCCTTGTGGTGAACATAAGTTGCCATAAACCTTCAATCAAATTGGACTTCGTCTACAAAAAGATATTGGAAAATCAAGTTTAATGTTATGGCATCGCATTAGATAAATTGCTTACCAAGATTCAAATAAATTATGTATTAATTTTACCACTTAAAGTATCGTAATTTAATTATGTTATGCCTTTTAACTAAAAAAAAAGCAGCGCTTAGCTGGAATGAATGAAAAAAAAGAAAGAAGATTCATTAAGCCAATGAAAACTAAGTGGAGAAGGCTAATGATGATGGTTTTAGAGAAAAAAGTTGTCTAAAAACAAATATAACTGCACATTAAAGAAAGATTTGATAACAGCAATTTACAACTATGTAAATGATGGTTGCGGACAAAGCCCTAATGACGAGAAGAGCACAAAAAGTCATTAGTATAAGTAAAACTAAGAAAGGCATAACAAAAACAGACCAAGATAATCACAATTATCACCAACCCTCCCAACTATTTCGGATAAGCATTATGATTCCTGAGAGAAAGAAAAAACATCAATGGCAAGTAAGCGTGACATTTCTTAAAACCATAATTTTATAGCAAGATAATGATATGAGTACGATTAAAATAATTACCAATATTTACCACCGAATAAGAAAATATACAAAAGAATCAAATATATAGAGTATGAAGTCAAGAATGAACTATTCAGCAGCACAAAAAAAAATAACAAATGGAACAAAAAATAACTAATTTGGAACACCTTACTTGAAGACTCGTGAAAACAAAAGTAATTAAATTTTTAATTATTATTAAGGCCTCTTCTAATAGATAGGAATTGAAATCTTCAGTCTATAAGGATATCATCACAGTATTGCTATCAGAACCGATGAAACAAATTCCAATGTCATGCTAGCAGATGATTTAGAAAGCATTTCTATAGGGCTAACAGGAGCAGTCACAATAGATTTAGAATCCCCTGTAAAGTCAATCAGTTGAAAATTTTGAGTGCAAATCTAAACAGAAGATTGGAAACTATTTTGTTAATATGAAGAGTGAAAATATTTGAATGATGTTATTTTATCAAAATATTTTATTCTCTCTAGTTTTAAACCAGACAGAGAAATTGTGCACATAGATTTTGTACAAAGAACATCACGGGAAATGCCTTCAAAGCCTGCCTTTCAATAATATCCACAAGACCTTGAGCTAATCCACTCCTTCTCTAATGATAAGATAACGTCAATTAGAACCAAAATTGTAGCCACAAAAAGCTTTGAAATACGAGCAATAGTGGCATCCGTTTGAGAAGTTTTCTAAGCATATAACCCAAGAAGCATAAAATGGATTGATTAAAGAATATAATTAAAGTTAAGGAAAAGCAACTCAAGCATGGGTGATAGATGGTTCCACAAAAATGCTAAAACAGCGACACCACTTAAACATATGCTTTGAAAAGCAATTAACATGGTAGATAGCTCAAAAGAAGAGTATAGTGTAGCTGCATCTGACATAATCTTAAAATAATGTGATTAGGAACAATTGTCCCAACTAAATAGTCACCAAAAAAGTGTAGGTTTGGTAGTTGCAAATGATGTCCATAGTTGGATGGCACAAAGAGAACTTATTTACCACGGAAAAATAGTGTGGTCTAGCATCATATCCTCATAAAAAATGAGTGTAGGATTACCTTATATATCATTTATAAAAAATGAGTGTAGGATTACCTTATATATCAATTGTTTTTTATGTTTTGGTGGAGTTGAGGCTTGATCAAAATGAAAACAAAAGTTGATGGAAGTAGAGCAATGCAATCTGAGTCCAATGATCCACCACAGTATTTGTAAAAGAATAAAAATTATGAGCAACAAGAGGAATGAGATCTAATGAAATGCTAACAATCAAATAAGCCTTCAAAATAAAAGGAATTATCGACACGAGAGACAATGACGATGGCAGAAATGGAACACCAACATGAACCCAACAGCATCCAATGAGGTAGATGAGTTTAATAAAAATAGAACTTAGGAGAGAGAGTGCCAACAAGTGCTTCCCAATAACGGCAAAGAAATGAGCAGCAAGAATTTAGAGCAAGAGACGAAAGGCATCCAATTGAAGAGCATCAGTGAAGGAGAAGAAGCACAAGGTCGCAAACCTAGGTAGCCTAGCAAGACAATCAAGCATTATGGCTACCCGGGCACCAACAAGTGCATAGGAATGCATACAAGAGTGCAATGCCATGAAAGCATGTAGCAAAAGTGCATGATGCACGATAATAGTGATGGTGCGCAAATGAGTATAATGGGATGAAGCAGCAGAGATAAAGGTGTTAACACAACGAACACATGCTAGCACTCGAAGCTATTTGAGTGCAAGACGGATATCTATGGCGCCTAGCAAGCGTGCAAGGATTGTCAAGGAGCGTCATTATAAATATCATCCCATACAACTAAATACGACATGAACCTATATAATGTTTCATGTTAGGTCATAAAATGTCAATTTAGAAGTTTAATGCAAGGTTCTAAATTATGATTTATGAAAAACATAAAAAATTTATCATTAGTAAAAGATATACAGCTGTTTAGAAAATGGCATGTGATTCCATGTAGATTTTCAATTTTAAAAAACATCTAAAATGTCATATGACTTCCAACAAAATAAAAAGCTTATTTTTTAATTCTAATAATGAAAATTTCTGAGTGCTAGAATTCATTGCTTTTTCTTTCTTTTTTTCTTTTTTTTTTTTTGCAAATTTATTATGTGTACATTATAGAAACATGCATCTCAATTTTTAATAATGATTCTTCAATAATTTTGCAAACATCTACAAAATCTCCATTTGGCTGATAAATGTTGATAAGATCATTTTAGAATGTTATGCCAAGCTATTTGAGCATAAAACTCTTACAAAAATCTTTCTATTTTCTTATTTACATTCATCAATAATTTTATTTATCCTTCTTCCTATTACATTTTATTCAAATTATATTTTTTGTAATTCTTTTAAAGAAATAACAGCATAAACCATCTCTCATCTTCTCCCTGTTTATATATATATATATATATATATATATATATATGCACAACCAATAAGACAATCATAAATTTGTTTATCTGTTTATTTCCTTTTTTAAATTTACGAAAGTATTTAAATAAATAAAACACTGTTTAACAATATAAAGTTCATCTAACTTATATTACATACGAATTTGATAAAATTTATAACTAAAATTTTTAAGTGACACGGATGAATAAAACCATAGAAATTATAAAATTTGAACCTTCATTTAATATTTTGAACAACTAAAATTTTACCACATGAATTCAAGAAGAAAATATAAATGATTATAAGATTAGAACGAATAACTTTATTATATATGAAAAAATACTATATATTTGAGCTTGAGGCAATATTTTGGAAGAAAAAACTACCCCAACACATTGCAAAACGAAATCACAATATTATTCGTACAAAATGCCAAAAAAAAAATTTAATTATAAATTGAGTGTATACATTTTATCGTATGAAAGCTTTTATTTAAATTAATATATGTGGATAAATTTACGACTATTTTATTAAACTGCCATGGGAGGTATAACTGATATTAATCTCCTAGGAGTATAATTCTCTTATTCTATTATAAATCCTAAAAAATATATGTGGCTTCTAATTCAACCTTAAAATTCCTTACTAAATTAAGGAAATGCCTTATTAAAAATATAATATTATTATAATACAAATTAATTTAATTATTTACATTTTTGTTAATTTTATTATTAACATGAAGCACCTGCAAACAAACTAGTATAAAGTCTAGGTTCCCATTACCATAGTCCAATGAAAAAAAATACTTACAGGATCAGGTATGCCCTTTAGATTCTCTAGTGTTTCTACAGCACGCTCCACTTCCTGTAAGCAGTAGAAGTTCTCAAAAAAACATCCCATAACAGAGTTAACAGTGCATCATCCAGCAAATCTCCAAAATGAGGCAAAGGCTTGGCAATAAAAACAAATAATCCAACCAGATAACATGCACATGCTTCCTAATTTCTATTGCAAGCATTCCTTTTAAACAATTCCAAAGTGAACGATCAGATAGAAGTTGCGCAATGGAAGAAAAAGAAATGAGGAGAAGATGCAAAAGATAATAGAATATCACCTTCAGCTGCTGAGGAGATGCAGAACGACCGCGCCCTTGGATACCAATTAGGGCATCGACGAGAGCCGATTCCGGCTCAGTGAAGGAAATTTCGCGTTCCTCCACCAGAGACGCGAAGACACCGTGAAGCTGCGGCCGTCTACCTAAGTATTTAGACGATAACGGACGTACAGTGGGAGCTGAAGTCGTCCATCTCCATGAGATGAGAGGCGGAAACCCTGGCCTCGCTGCTCCGACGGCCATTCAAAGGAGAACGACGAGGAGAGCGTTTGTTCGGTTCTCATTTCTTCCGCTTCCTCCTACTGATAGCAGAGCGTTTGGTTTATCTTAAGCGGGGCCCACAACTACTCCACACAGGCTGCCCATATCAGTTCAGCGTCGCACGTCTGAGAAAAATATGGTGCAAGTGAGTTGAGCTGACTCGCGAGCAGGTCAAGCCCGACTCGGTAAGTGGCACATGAACTGAGCTCTATGAACTAACAAGCCAAGCTCAAGCCAACCCCGACCCGACCCAATTGATTAAG